GGACATGGCTGGAGACGGGGACTGCTCGTAACCTCCGGCCTAGGGTTGTCTGCCCCACGGCACCCCGCTAAATAACCTCTCTTAGGTCTGCACTCAAAATGTACGCGAGTAATCAGGAAGACGCCAGCCTGGCAATAAAACAAAATATATAGGATCAGATCTTCTCCCAGCAGAGCTGTTGGATGCATCCCGAGGAACCGAAGCTAATGACAAGGGCACTTCAATCACGTTGAGAACAGCCTCCGTCACGGGCACGTCGCCGTTAACCAAAGTTGGGCTGCGTGGCTGCTCCCGCAGACCCGGCACCATCTGTTCCCAGAAAATGTCTCATTCATCTCGGCTGTCCCAGTAGGAGCCTCCGCTAAGTGATTCCAGCTGCCCTTGTGCTTTGCTCGGAGAACAAAAGCTGAGCCTGGAAAGGCCTCGTGGCAGCGAGTGAGCTGAGGAGGACGGAACCTGCCACCCTTTCCTGGAGCTCAAGGGGTCTTTTTTTCCATAGAATTGAGTTTTAGACCCTCTGCAGCACTTACTCAGCAGATAACTTGCTTTCTTGTCTGGTATCTTACAGCTCTGCAGGGGAAAAAAAAAAAGGTGTATCCGTTTTATGAGGATATCTCATAGCCCAGCTGTGTGCATGCAAAGAAATTTCATAATTAATCTAGGCACAGATATGTTAATGCTCAAAGCAAAAGGGGATCTAACAAGTAAACTTTTTTGTGAAGGCTAATGTGTCCTGTAAAGCAACAGCTACGGAGAATCTCAAGCCCCTGTTCTCTTTCCCCAGATCCATGACTCCAGCCCAAGCAGACCTGGAATTTCTGGAGAATGCAAAAAAGCTGTCTATGTATGGAGTTGACCTTCACCAAGCCAAGGTGAGAGTCAGCTGTGTGCGCCTGTCTGCCGTGTTCTGTAATTTTTAGCATAAGGTGCTAAAAACTGCTTGAGGGATGGGAGTTGGGGAGATAAATTCAAGAAAGCTGCAGGGAAAGGAGTTCAGCCACTGGCCAGGAACGTGTAACCGTGAGGCTGCTCTCTGCTGAAATCTCCCTTTGCTTTTTCAGGACTTGGAAGGAGTGGATATCACTCTGGGAGTCTGTTCTAGTGGCCTTCTTGTTTACAAAGATAAGCTGAGAATCAACCGCTTCCCCTGGCCCAAAGTCCTGAAGATTTCCTACAAACGCAGCAGCTTCTTCATCAAGATTCGGCCGGGGGAGGTAGGTTCCGACTCACTTGTGCCCATGGCTTCTGTTTTCTGTAACTGCCTTCCACTGATCACCAGCTGAAGCGCTTCAGTAGGTGGGGGAAAGCAGCAGATTTCTTCCGAATGGGCATGTTACACCCCGTTGTATTTGTGATGTTCCCCTCGCAGTAAATTCAGTCCTTACCATAAAGCTTTGCCCAAGTTACGGAATAGATAATGGCAATTTAAACAAGTGTCATCTAGCCCCATCTCCTGGCACAGCTTGGTACTGCCCTGATCCAGCAGTAGAGTTTAAAGTTAAGGTTAGCAGAAACGGGGAGAAGGTTTCCCCCTTTTTCTGGAAAAATCCAGCTTTTCCCAGAGGGAGTTCACCTGGACTAGACCAGCATCTTGTGCCCGTGCAGCAGCTTGGTGGGCTGGGGACAAGCTCTTCTGCCACGCTCACTTCTTGCTCTGCCTAAATGACGTGTGTTTTCCGCAGCAAGAACAGTATGAAAGTACAATTGGGTTCAAGCTACCAAGTTACCGGGCAGCAAAGAAGCTGTGGAAGGTGTGTGTGGAACATCACACGTTTTTCAGGTGCGTTTTTTAAACTCTGGGCTCCCCTTTGATCGGTGGTGAGTAACCAACACGAGATTTGCTGAGCACAGATGCTTCTCGAGTGCTCTTTAAGGTCTAACAAAAACTGGAGTGAAATGCTTGAAGACAAATTCAGTGTTTATATTGCATGGTAAGGCAGCTTGCGCGTGGGGTTTGCTCTCCCATTTGCAACTAGCAGTGTTAGCTTGTCGCTAGTGCGTGTTGCCTTGCTCATCATCAGTGCACGCAAAGACGAGTGTAATTCGTATTTTAATTCCTCCTCTGCATCCCTTCCCCTCTTACCGCGTCGCTGTGTCTCCCCAGGCTCACGTCCACCGAGGCGATCCCGAAGAGCCGCTTCCTGGCGCTGGGCTCCAAGTTCCGCTACAGCGGCCGCACGCAGGCGCAGACGAGGCAGGCGAGCGCCCTCATCGACCGGCCGGCGCCGCGCTTCGAGCGCACGGCCAGCAAGAGGGCGTCCCGGAGCCTCGACGGAGGTCAGTGCCCGCCGCCCCGCGCCTCGCGGACCCCCGAGACCGAGCCCTTGCTTTGATCGGAGGCGAAAGCTCCTTTAGCGAACTCGGAATGTTGACCACCCTCAAAGCATTTAAATCCTCTGTTATTAGAAGTCAGTATTTGCTTTGCTTAAAGAAGAAAGAACATAATTTCTTGCAGAGTTCAAGACCTAGAGATAAAATGTTAATAGTAACGCTGCCAACAACTCCCTGGCAAAGAACAGTTGCGGCTGTCAGTGGGTGTTGCAGGCCAGTAGCAAAGTTCTAGTTATAAAGGTATTTCCTCATTGCTTCTCAACACAATTTTCTTTCAGCAAATCCAGAATTATCCCATTCTGGGATTTGGGTTTGTTTATTTAAAGTAGCTTTTAGTAGCTTGAGGGGAAGGTTTTTGCCACTAATGCTTGAAGCTTTTCCTGTTTCAAACAGGTTGTTTAGGGAATGATTATGTCAAAGGTTGTGATGCAGCAGTCGGGCGGGCCGGATTTCTTTTCAAGGGGGCAAATAGGAGCCCGCTTTGCTCCCCTTGGGCTGCATCTAGGAGTGCTCCTAAATTAGGATCCTAAAATCAGGATCCTTTGCCCTCGGGCACCCAATAGAGCACGAGCAGCATCGCGCTGAGCCCCGATGTCGCACTGCGACCCGCCGTGCTCAGCGATACCCGGGGCCAGGACGCCTGGGCCCGCCGGGAGGCAGAGCCCGGCCGTGGTCCGGCCCGCGCGCGTGTGGCCCCCTCAAACCCGCAGCCTCCCCGCGGGCTCGGGGGGCGCCTGTTAACATGTGCACAATTTCCCCAGCGAAACGTGCGACTCAAAAAGTTGAGTTCAGAGCCGTAGAGGAAGAGAAGCAGGAGGAGGTGGTGGTGGTTGAGGTTCCCGAACCAAAACCCGTGGATGAGTCCCGAGAGAAGCCAGGTATAGCTGTGGTGGCTATGACTCTCTGCAGCGCATTGCCTATCCTTTCCCCACTGAGAGCCTTTACATGCTTGTTCTTGACACCTCTGAAAAGTTTCACCAAACCTGGCAGCTTCCTTTCTTTTGTTTCTTTGCGAGGAGAGTTTCATGCTCGGAGGACACACGGGCCGGGAGAGACAGAGACCAAATTTCTGCATTGCCCCTCACTAGACTGTAATTGTGCTGGGGACATGGGGGGACGATTGGGTTGTACTGGCACTTCACATCTGTCTCTGCGTCAAATTTGGGTGTCTTCAAAAATGTTAACGCTTAAAGGTTTTTTTCCTGTCATCTTGACATTTCTTTTAAAGCTTCTGTAAGGCTGTATCTCAGGAACTGCTTACATTTCTTGAAACCTTTTGTGGGTTTTATTCTAATTTGAGAAATGCTTCCCAGTGTGCTTCGGGAAGCCCAGAATTCTCTTTGGACAGGTCCTATTTAATAAATAATAAAGTCCTCTTTATCGAGGCGTGTGGGTTTTCAATACCAGTCAGCACACCACAGCAGCCGTGTTGTCAAATACTTGTTTTCTCCCTTGCTTAAGTGTCCGACGCCCGCGGAGCATCAGAGCTGGAGAGGGTTTGTATGCCAGAGCACCGCGCGCTGCTCCGCTTTCCTTCTTCCATCCTGCTGGTTGTCCAGAGCTCTTCTCACGCCGCTGTTTCGCTGCTCCGAGATGCACCTCGCGCTTTCACAGAGCAAAACCCCCCAAAACACTGTCCTGCCTTGACGTCTTCCAGGCGCTTGGCAGCCCTGGGAGTGAAAACCCGCCAAGACGGACGGTGGAGAAGGAGCATCTAAGCCATTGGGATAGTTTGATGCATGCTCTAAGTTTTGGCATACGAAGCTTGGTCACTGAAGTGCATCCAATCTAAACCCCCTATGCAGCTCTCGGATGTTGCCGCGGGGAGGAGTCTCCACTCGCTGTCCCCTCACGGTGGTCGCGTGTCCGTGCGGCGCCAGCCGCTCCGTTAACGCCTGCAACCCTTCTTCTAGCCAAACACGCTCTAGAAAGCTTTGAAATGAAACCCATTGCAGAGGAGGAAGAGGACGAGGAGAAGGTAGAGGTGCTTACGGTTCCCGTTGCCGAGCCAGCCGTGCTGGAACCGTCAGGGACAACCGCAGCGGCGCCTGACGTTGGGGTGGCTGTGGTCCTGCCGCCTGTTGCTGTGCCCCCGCGCCGGGCTGACGTGCTGTAGGGCAGCGGTTGTTTGCGGTGGGGTTGGTGCCGCTGCAGCCCGGCCCTCGGCTCCGCGAGGCCGTTAACGGCAGTGCTGTGCGGTGCCCCCCTAACACTCCTGCCCCTCTCTGCAAGGGTCGTTGCCACGTGCTGCGGGGACAGTGCCTAAAACGCAGCTTCTCGCAAGGCCACATTGGCCCCTAAGCACACAGCCCTTGTTGGGCTCCCCTGTGCCCACCTCCTGGCTTCCCGTGGGCACTTTGGGTCCCCAGAGATGGGATTTTCTGGGCCAGGGTAATGATGATGCACCCACACGTTGGAGCAGATTCTGCTCTTGTGTTTAAATCCAGTGCCGTGTTTCCAAATAGCTAGAAGTAGCCAGTCAAGGAGAAAGAACTAAAGTAACGCGGCTCTGGACAGCACCTAGTTCATTAGCGAGTAGTGGAGGGAAAGATTTGCATCTTTCATCATTTCTCCTGTGTGTCTTGATGCTCTCGAGCTCTGCAAAAGAAGCAGAAGTCCCCAAAGAGAGGTGGCCTTGCAGATTTGCTCGTGGCAGCGTTTCCCTTCCCGTTTGGTTTTTGAGGTGCCGTTTTCATGTATTCGTAACCCTTTTAGCCAAACGTGCTCTTGGCAAAGTTGAGATAAGCCCCCTGGAAGACAAGGAGGCAGCAGAAGACAAACTGATGGTGATGAGAGGAGCGGAAGCGGTCCAGAAGGAGCCAGGTACCACGGAATGGCTTTTCACAGCTGTGCGGTTAGCGTGTCCTTGTCCTCCTTCGTGCTGCCGTGTGGCAGCCCCGGTGTGAGGCCTCTCCGGTGACTGTCACCACCTCTGTGGCAGAAACGACCTCAAGACGTGGGGCCGTTCTCCTTTCTGAGCAGTCAGCGAAACGCCTGGCGTGCAGGATGGCCTGTTCCGTTGGAGAGTGGCAGATGTCATGGGAATGGTGGGGATGATCTGGGATCTTGCCATGGATTTTCAGCCAGTGCCAGTGTCTAGGAATTTATGTTAGAAGTTGCAGTTTCAGTCTCCCCTCCTCTCCCCGCCCCACCAAAATCTTGTTCTAGCTTTTCCACCCTTCAATCCTATATGTTTTCTGTTTTTGACCATGCAGATACTTTATTCCGCACCAGTTTTATACATGTGAATGAGATGCAGGTAGCTTTGAGAGAAAGGCAAAGCAGAATGCTGAGGTTTTGCTTAATGATTTTTTTTTAAATGTCAGATCTTCTGGTGTCCCTAGCTGGAGGGAGACTAGTAGCCTGGTAACACTAGTAACTGAGATAAGTAACACACTGCGACTCATCCATCATAAACCAGGCGCACGTGAACATGAAATCATGCCAAGAAATTATGTCAAATGACTAGGGATAGTTTTAGCACAATGGCCACAGGAATCGAGAGAGAATCGAATTCTCTCTGGAGAACTAAATGGCTTCTTGTGTCTGTAGAGGGCACCATGGAATAGTTGGGACACGCAGCATGAGCTGGAGTGCAAGGGCTTTCTGAGGTGTTCGGGACCATCGTCCTTCTTGTGAGAGCTGGTGTTTTGGGAGCGTAGTGTCGTTTCTGCGCATGCCCTGGCTGGGAGGTGGCGGCTGTCTCCTCGCCGCCGTGGCTCGTCCTGTGGCGGGAGAGACCCGTCCCGGGGAGATGGTCCAGGTCTGTTAGAAACCCACCCAGAGGCTGCTGCAGAGCTTTATGGAGAAACACGGCTTGATTTCTGGAGAGGAATCAGTGAAAGGATTGAGGAGGAGAGGGAGGAACCAGCGCTGCTCTTCCTCAAGCCGTCCCTTTCCGGCCGAGGACTCCGCGCGAGCCCGGTGCAGCTGCCGCGGCCGCGGGTCGCCGTTCCCATTGCGATGGATTCGTGTCCAGGAGGCGACGGCGTCCGGGAGCGCCGAGCTTCTGGCGGGGCCGCTCTGCAGGGCGCAAGCTTGCTTTGTGTGGACCATGTTTGGGCTTTCGTTTTATTTTATTTCCTTAAACCATAAGGGTAAAACCGATCTCCGCTTTCCGTGCTAAACTCAAGCCGCTTTGCTCCACATCTTGGTTTCTTTCCCCTCACGTTCTTTCCTGTCTCTCCTCCTCCTCCGCCTTTCCCGGTGATCCGCAGCTCCCGGCGCTGGCCGTGCTCTGACCC